TAAACCAAATGCCATTTAGTTAATCTCTGCACCCAATTCTTTTCTCCCTGTGAATGTTGAAGTCAATGATTTTCACAGGAGAGAGATTTACACGTGCTGGGAGGATGATAAGTGTACCAAATATTTGTTCAGGACAGTTTCTGGTCCTGGCTCTTTCTTCACAGCATCCATTTTAATGTCCCTGCCATTCATTTATTCATTCAGGATTTATTGAGCAGACTTGTCGGGCACCATGATAAGTGCTGGAAAATAGAGATTCTGACACTCGAATGGTGTTTTACAGCTTACAGATCATTTTCACATATATTAAATCCGTTCAGTCCTCAGAGGCATTCACTTCATTTCGCTCCAGTTATCCATTCTCTCTTAGCCTTGTATTTCCCCCAATGTTCCTTCCCTCCAATCACTGCAGAGTATTTGCTAAGTGCTTTGGTGGGGTGAGGTGGGGGTGGCAACCACAGGTTGGAAAAGCAGGTGGTGAGTAGGCATGAGACTGAGGGCTAGAAACACTTCTAGTATCTTATACTTTACCTTCCAGGTCCAAGCTCTTGTAAGATGTATTCTCTTTTACTTAGGCAAGTGCAAAGCGTCACATGGGAAAGATCGCTAATCATCAATGTGTCCTTCGCCACCAGAGAATGGGTTGAACTGAAACACAGGGAGGATACTTCCCCAAGTATCTTTCTGAATCTCCATCCCATTGGGTTTATTCAACATCCTGGATGCTCTAAAGAGCTATAAGCCCCTTCAACATACCCAGGCCAATAGATACAAGCAACCAAGTTACTAAGTTTTGTGACACTAACCAATTCACAAGAATCAAAAGACACGAAATCAACCGGAAAATTATTTTCATGTAATTGAGCCTTAAATCTGCGTTTAATCCGTTAATGTCTGTCATTCACATAGGAAATGCCAGGGGCTCTTCTGTGGGAAGTGGCTTGCAGAGGATGAGTGTGTCATCTCAAGAGGTAAAGAACAAAGTTGTCTGCGGCTGGTTGTAGGCACACAGCATCTCTCACCTTCAGGTGTAGTCAGTGACTGTGTCAAGGACACTCGTGTTCATAGGACACCAGTGGATGGCACACTGCATAAACCTGTACTTGCAGACAAACTCATTCCCCACCCAGGCGCCTTGGACTAGTTTCACATCTGCCTAGAATGCTATTATTCTAGAATGTGCTATGGTTCTCTCTTTTTAGGTCCCTGTCATTTCCACAGAGACAGTGTGTGTGTGTGTGTGTGTGTGTGTGTGTGTGAGTGTGTGTGTATGCATATATGTGTATTATAAACTCTAAGAGGGCAGTGATTATTTTCTCTTTTAAATTTTTATATAAATTTGAAACAAGCTTGTTTTACATGTTAATCCCAGTTCCTGCACCCTCCCTTCCTCCCCACGAACCCACATCCCATCGCCTTTCTGCTCTCCAGGGAGGGTGAGGCCTTCCATGGGGAGTCTTCAAAGTCTGTCATATCATTTGGAGCAGGGCCTAAGCCCTCCCACATGTGTTTATGCTGAGACAGTATCCCTCTATGTGGAATGGGCTCCCACTGTCCATTCGTATACTAAGGATAAATACTGATCCACTACCAGAGGCTCCATAGACTGTCTAGGCCTCCTAACTAACACCCACATCCAGGGGGTCTGGGTCCGTCCTATTCTGGATTCCCAGCTATCAGACTGGGGTCCATGACCTGACTGGGGTCAGGTCAGCTGTTTCTGTGGGATTCCCCAGCCTGGTCTTGGCCCCTTTGCTCATCACTCCTCTCTCTCTGCAACTGGATTCCAAGAGTTTGGCTCAGTGTTTAGCTGTGGGTGTCTGCTTCTGCTTCCATCAGCTACTGGATGAAGGCTCTAGGATGACATATAAGGTAGTCATCAATATCATTATCAGGGAAGGGCATTTAAGGCAGCCTCTCCACTATTGCTTAGATTTTAGTTGGGGTCATCCTTGTAGATCTCTGGACATTTCCCAAGTGCCAGATTTCTCTCTAAACCTATGCTGGCTATTATGGTATCTCTTTTCTTGCTCTCCTCTATTCATCCCCCAACTCAATCTTCCTGCTCTCTCATGTCCTGCTCTCTCCTCCTCTTCTCCCCCTGACTTTCTCCTTCTCTCCTCTCCCCATGCTCCCAATTTGCTCAGGAGATCTTGTCCCTTTCCCTTCTCTGGGGGACCATGTATGTCTCTCTTAGAGTCCTCCTTGTTTCCTAGCTTCTCTGGTGGTGTGAATGGGAGGCTGGCGACCCTTTGCTCTATGTCTAATATTCATATATGTGTGAGTACATACTGTGTTTGTCTTTTTGTGACTGGGTTACCTCACTCAGGATGGTTTCTAGTTCCATCCATTGAGGGCAATGATTGTTTTCTAATACGCTTCCTGGGAAGACACAGTGGTAGACCCTGAATGAATATTGATGGAATAAGCGAATGAGCAAAATATTTATGAGAGAATTATAAAACCCCAGCTGGGCTCTAAATAGTAGGGATAAAGTAATGAATGAAGCTGGCCAACATCCCTGAACCCTTCGGATCTTACCTTCTGGCGCAGGGAAAGTGACTTTCAACAAATAAGACAGGAAAGGGGAGCTGCCAGAAGATAGCTGGGCGTCACCACACAGGGCGATGGAGAAAGGGCACCTGGAGAAGGCAGGGAGAGAAGAGGAATACACAGTGTAGGGGGAGGGTGGGCCATTCAGGCAAAGAGAAAAAGCAGGGCCAGGAGTCTGTGGGGTCAAACCCAGCGCTTTCTTTGTGAAGTGTCGAGGGATGGGGCCAGAGGAGCAGTCAGACTCAAGCATCCCGTCTTTCAGGTTGCTAGAAGGAGTTTGGGTTTGCTCTTATGTGAGCTGGGGAAGCACTGTAGGGCTCCAGGCAGAGTGACACATCTGATGCAGAGTGACTCGATCCTCCTCTTGTTCTAGTGATACAAGGCTGATGGGTGCTGGGATGGAAGCAAGGCTTGGATACAAGGCTCAGGCAGTGATCCAAGCAAGAGGAGAAGCTGGTGTGGTCCACAGAGGCGGTGAAATCCCTGAGACAGGAGGATCTTGAAGGGAGACCGGACAGAATCTGTGGAAACAATGGACAAAAGTAATGACCCAACGGTGCCACGGTGACACAAAAGTCTTTTCTTGGGTTTACAGACGAGAGCCGGTTTTGTCAGGCCCCAGACGCGGAGGTAGCAGCTTCTGTGCTGGGACTTGGAATTCTTGGGTCAACTATCATTTGTCCCAAAGAACAGTCCAAAAATGTTGCAACACATTCAGTACCAAAAAATCCGTGCTTGAATTAAGCAGCCTGGTGTGGGGCGTGATCTAATTTCAGCTCGCTGACACAAGTGCAATAATTGTTCGGCAGACATAAACATTTCAAAAACGAAAATGACACTTATCCGTGAGAAGACTATCAAGCTCCTCAGACGGTTGAACAAAGGGTAAACATCATTATCGAGGACAAAGATCTTTCCTGGCTTATTGGGGTCAGAGCCTGTCCTTCACAGTGGTCTGATAACTGTTCATGGCTGCTCTGAAGGGGCCCTGGCTGGTCTTCTGCCTCCTACGCCTCACGGCCTGACACTGAGCACGGAACAGCGTTTATTAACCTCGTGGTTTCTGAAACCCTTCTCTATCTCCATCTTCTGGAATCCCTTGCCTGTGTATTATTTACCCAAACCAACAACCACATAACCACTCGCAAATTTAGAGTTTCAGAATGAGTCGAGATGGAAATTTGAAGAGAGCAAGCTGCTTCATTCCTCTGGAGACCAGGGAAGGCTTCCTGCAAGAGGAGTTCCGTGGGCTGCAATTTGCACATGACTTTGCAGGAAGTAGGAGGCCATAGAGACCAGGGCAGGATCCGGAAGCCCTATAAAAAAAATCCACATCTCTGGTGCATTGTCCTGTTAGACACAGAAGAGAAAGCTGGCAGGACCAGAGACAAGTGACCCTGGACCTCTAGAGTAGCTGTACATATACTTCATATGTAAGTGCATTACATTTTTAAGAGGCAAATAAAATATTGTTAAAAACCGCCTAAAGTGGAATTTTCTGGTGCGATTCACAGATGGCTGAAAGGAACCCGAGGCCTCACATTCCGCTTTCAGAAGCGCTTGGTAGCCTTCATGAGGACACAGTATAAGCCCCACCTTTCGCCCACCCAACTTCCTCTTCTAGCCGTTTCTGCTCACTGCAGTACTATGTTGAGGTTTCCTGACAAAAGAGTTTATGCATTCTCATAGTAAACTATCACAACACCTAGTTTTTTTTTTTTTTTTGAGGTTATTTTGCAGTCACGTGAAAAACCTTTGGGTGCTCTGGGGTTGGAGTGACCCCCACGTCTCCCCAGAGCTTGTGTCTCTCTTCAGAACTTCCAGAGACCCGGGGATCCTCTACCTCAGCCCTCTGCACAGTTAGAAGCGGGTAGGTCTAGAGGGCGCTAGGCCACAGTCAACCAAGCCTTTTCCAGGCAGCCAGAAAGTTTCCGACCCCTTCTGGAGTCCCTTGCTGCGGGCTGCGGTCGGCAGAGAAAGGGACCCGAGACGATCGTTTTAGAGAACAGCCTTGTGGGGAAGCGCCCGAGGCTATGACCCACTGCGAAAGAGGAAGGAGAGCTGGGCCGGGGTGCGGCACGGGTGGGTGGGCGGGCGGGCGGGCGGGCGAGCGGTGACAGTCTGGTCGCCCCCCGGAGCGCGCGGGTCAGGGTGGAGCCTGCAGCCCCGAGCCGCGTCAGCGTTTAGCATGCAAATCCATTTCCCGCTCCTCCTCTCCCCCCCAGCCCTCCCCGCCCTCCCCGCCCCGGGAGCGAGCTCAGCGGCTCCGCAGCCGCCCACGCCTCCTGCGCGCCGCGGCGCCCGGGCGGGCGGCTCTACTTAAGCGGCGCGCGGGCCGCGACCCGCCACTCGCCTGGAGCGCGCGGGCGAGGCGGGCGCAGCGCACCGGGGCTCTCGTGGGCGCACAGCTGCGCGCTCGCACCGCGCGGCTCTCGGTGGCAGCGGCCGCCCGAGCGCGGGGCTCCCGGGATAAGAGCCGCCGCAGCTCCCGATCGCGACCCTGCTCCCGGTCGCTGGCCCATCCCGGCCACCTCTTTGGCCATGGCTCTGGCGGACAGCACCCGAGGATTACCCAACGGGGGTGGAGGCGGGGGTGGCAGCGGCTCGTCGTCGTCCTCGGCGGAGCCGCCGCTCTTCCCGGACATCGTGGAGCTGAACGTGGGGGGGCAGGTGTATGTGACCCGGCGCTGCACCGTGGTGTCTGTGCCCGACTCGCTGCTCTGGCGTATGTTCACGCAGCAGCAGCCGCAGGAGCTGGCCCGGGACAGCAAAGGCCGCTTCTTTCTGGATCGGGACGGCTTCCTGTTCCGCTACATCCTGGATTACCTGCGGGACTTGCAGCTCGTGCTGCCCGACTACTTCCCGGAGCGCAGCCGGCTGCAGCGGGAGGCCGAGTACTTCGAGCTGCCGGAGCTCGTGCGTCGCCTCGGGGCGCCCCAGCAGCCGGGTCCCGGGCCACCGCCGCCGCACTCGCGCCGCGGGGTCCACAAGGAGGGCTCGCTGGGCGACGAGCTGCTGCCGCTGGGCTACTCGGAGACCGAGCCGCCGCAGGAGGGCGCCTCGGCCGGGGCGCCGTCGCCCACGCTGGAGCTGGCTAGCCGCAGCCCGTCCGGGGGCGCGGCGGGTCCCCTGCTCACGCCGTCCCAGTCCTTGGACGGCAGCCGGCGCTCCGGCTACATCACCATCGGCTACCGCGGCTCCTACACCATCGGGCGCGACGCCCAGGCGGACGCCAAGTTCCGGCGGGTGGCGCGAATCACGGTGTGCGGCAAGACGTCGCTGGCCAAGGAGGTGTTTGGGGACACCCTGAACGAGAGCCGGGACCCTGACCGGCCCCCGGAGCGCTACACGTCGCGCTATTATCTCAAGTTCAACTTCCTAGAGCAGGCCTTCGATAAGCTGTCTGAGTCGGGCTTCCACATGGTGGCGTGCAGCTCCACCGGCACCTGCGCCTTTGCCAGCAGCACCGACCAGAGCGAGGACAAGATCTGGACCAGCTACACCGAGTACGTCTTCTGCAGGGAGTGAGATCCCCAGACCCCTTGCCATTCCTGCACCCGCTTCCCTTCCTCCACGCCGGGTGTGGGTACAGGCTTAGAGATGCCCTAGCCCCCTTCCCCTGGTGCCCTGGTTCCCTCTGCTCCCCACCCCGCCCCCTCCGCCCTCAGTAGCTCACCCAGACCGGTCAGCTCCCTTGAAAATCGCAGCCACAAATCTGGGCTTCTTCGCCTTCGTTGGACCCCGCTAACCGAGAGTGCGCAGACGTAGCCCTTCTTCACCTCCGCTTCCTCTACTCCTGGCCTCCGAGCACCCTTCCCCCAGACTGAACTTGAGTGGAGATCTAGTGGGGCAGTGGGAGCGCAAAGTCACCAAGTACCTGTGAATGACCCAGTCGTTCAGGACCCGATTGGACGGTGTCCAGCGTGCAGTGCGGAAGAGTCTTTGGAATCTCAAGTCGATAGAGATTTCAGAGATGAGGACAGAGAGCTCTGTGAGGGGACAGTGTTTTAAAAGGTTCTTACGGACTTGATCTTCATAGGAGAAAGTTTTAGTAGACCACCGATGGAAGACTGTAATGCTGGAATTAACACCCCATGGAGGCAGTTCAGAGGCTGTAAATAAAGTGACTTTTTTTTTTTTTTTAAGTTACAGGTAGGAGTAAATCCTAGTCCAGGTAACAGGAGGTTCCTATTTTCCACACACAATAGACCTCCCGTGGCTTGAACGTGATCCTCCTGCCTGCGGAGGATCTTGTCAGCTTTTGCCTGAGCTTTAGGTTTTATTGGTCAAGGCAGCACTTGGAGCCAGGAGCTAGGAGCAGGAGGCAAGGCTGCCCAGGCCCCCAGCGCTGCAGGAAGTCACTTGGCAGTGGCAGTAATGCAGGGGTGTTAGTAGGATCTACAGCCCTTAGGTCTAGGACTAGTGGGAGGGGAGGGGAGGGAGGAAGGAGGGGAGGAAGGGCGGGGAGGGAGGAGAGGACAGACTTGTTTATTATTTGCAAGTTGGAAGTTTGTGCCATCCGTTTGAGTACATGCACATTTAAAAATATCAGACAGTACGTGTAAACTTAGATTCCTATCAAGATTAGTAAAAGCCCACTTTAAGCTGGAAGTTTATCGAGCTGTTTTGAGTCCTAAACTTTTACGTTACTAACACTTGTATAACCTAACCAAAGAGTTACCTAGTGGAGTTTTAGCGGTTTGAGCGTTTGTTTTCTTGTTGATTATTTTTCCTCATTTTGTAGCCGATTCACTTAAGTAAGTTTGGTTTTTAGCTCCTTAGACTTAAGATCTCTTCTTCTTCTTATTTTTAAATTTCTGGCTTTTCTTTCCTGAGCCCAGCAAGTATGGGCAGTTCTGAAAACACAAACAACGCCATTTCTGTCATGCGTTTGTTTGGGGTTTCAGTGGACTCTTTTCTGTGACAGAGCTGAAGATAAACTAAGCACGGGAACCGCCCATCTGCAGACAGCCGTGAAGTGAAAATGTTCTCAAATGAAGGCGAATAAACACTTCGGTGTGAGCTGAGCAATAACATGGTGTTTTAGGTAAATGCAGCAGCAACGGGAGACCTTATGCCTTTACTCTCACCTGGAGTGAATTCCTAGTGTCTATCCTATGTACACTGCAGCCGCAGGGAGGCAAATCCGGATGCTTCCTGCTGATAGGCATCCTTTGACTTATCTAACTTATCTGTGATGATGGATGGACAAGCTTTTTTTTTTTTTTTTTTTTTTTTTGTGCGTGTGTGGTTTGTTTCACCATCTTTCTCTGAAATATGTTTTCAAAGATTTTGTAAGAGTCGTTGTAAGTGTTCAAAGTAGTGCTGTTTTTCTTTCTCTTTAAGACTGAACTGTACTGAACTTCCCTGTGTCCATGGCAGATGTTATGAATTAGGACAGTTTTATCCTCAGACTCGTGTGATCCAATCTGTACATACCATACATATATAAACATTTTACAGGAATCATTTAGTTTTTTAATTCATCTACTAATGCCATACAATTTACTCTATTTACCCCCTGGTAACTTGCATTTGTTGGTATATATACAAAAGCAACATGTTTTGGTGAGTTTCTCATATCCTCGCCTATGAACTTGGGTCAGGAAAACATTCATAACTATGAGGTTGGGTTTGCTCCATACATTTTTGCTGGGATGTTAGTTGTATCCCATTCATATGCCAGTTAACTGTCTACCTGTATTCAAGCTATCCATATCTTTAATCCAATAATGGTTGGGAGAGATTTAAGTATTTTCTGTTAGTTACCTTTTTTTTTTTTTTTTTTTTTAAGAAAAGTTCGCTTCATGTACAAAGTCTGCTGCTTTAAACAAAGGAAACAGGGATCCAGGAAGTTGCTTTAACTTCAATGTTGACCTCAATTTTAGACAGTGGATCAGGTAATGGGTCAGAACCTTAGTTTCAAGCCTGAAGTAATTTAGGGCTGTCACTCACTGGTCAAAAATGACTGTCAAAAATTTCTCATGTCATGGTACTCTGTCAGATTGCTTAACAAAGAAATGAACGATCTTTAGGACAGGCCAAAACCACGCTGACAGATGGCAAGATGGAAGTTTCTGATCCCCCTCGTCAAATCTGTACAACTCTAGGAGCCATGAGATACTGCTGAAGTTTTGCCTGCACTCAAGTCGTATGAATCACATCTTGGAAAACCTGTTCAGTTGTTTCAATAAGATGTAGGCATCTTTTTGTACCTTCCACCACACCTGGCTGGTCTGTAATTTTGAAGACTGGGAATTTTAGTGTTAGGAATAGTACCTGGGCCTCTTTCCCTGGAAAGAGGCCCTCTGCAGGTGAAGCCAATGCATGACAACTTTGTACTTTTCAGCCCAAAGTGAGGTTCGAGTGGTCACCTTATTTTATGATGGGAACATAGAATGACTGAGTCAGGGTCACCGGGCATGGGTATTTAACTCTTGCTGGGCTTTGGGCTTTGGGAGAAAACTTTGAGGCTTACAAATGTTCTCAAGTACTAGTCAGCACCTGTGAATTTGACTAGTGTACCAAATAGATCAAGGCTCTCAAAAATATCTTTGAAATAACCTGGGAGACTGTTGTAAACTACTTAAATAATTATGGCTGCATAATCCACCTCAGAGAGGCAAGCATTTGCATATGCTGATCAAATTACCATTTGATGTTGATAAATAATGTAACAACATTGGATTTAATAACTGATTTTTATAAAGAAGTATTGACAGTCATTGTGGTTGGAAAAAAATAGGAACCATGTTCCATGCTTGTGAAGATAAAATGTTTAATGTCTTGTTTGTTTTTTAATTCATGTGGATTATGAACCACATTCATTCTAAATTTTCAGACATGTAGAGGAAAATATTCTTGGAAGGTGTGAGAAAATTTCCCCCTTTAATACTGTTTTTATTCTTGTGTTTCTTATTAAGGTTTTGCAGTTAGTAGCAAAGTGACAATGCTAGCCAAAATTCTTCTTTTTAAAAGCAGAATCATATATATATATATATTCAATGTATGTATACCTGCTGCTTCTCTGAGGAAATATATAATGTGCAAATACACAGAGAAAACTGGCAGTGCTTATAACATATTCCAATTTTTATTGTAGTTGCCATGGAATGTTGTTATTAAATCAAAGCCACTTATGGTGAAGCTTCGATAAGTTTTCTAACTCTTCAAATTATGGTAAATTCCAATCTAGTGTTCAAATCATTTTTGTACTCCTATTTGTAAAATAAATTATAATGCAGATATTTCAAAAAATATTGAGTGAAGGAAGTGAATTCCTTAAGAATTTCTTTTACAGTCTTAATTACAAATACTGTAAAATTGACATATTTTAAAAATAGTAAACTTGGTATTGTTATTGTTAAAATCTTAGTCAAGACTTTTCTTGCAATTTTTATTATGTTTTCATCACTACGAATCATTTACAATCTGAATATTTTGGATAATTCTGATCTGTCTCTTGAGTAATAAATAAAATGCAGTATTCTTATTCCCAGAGTCTATAGCACCTAGAAGTCTTCACATAGCCATAAATAAGTTATATTGCAGTCAACTTTTCTTTGTGACAGGTTTGGACAGTACAAATCTCAAGGTCTGAATACACGAGGATTTAGAGTCTTTCCTGGGCCCCATTAAACAAAGATGGAAGAATCCTAGCAGAAAATATACCTAGAGTATACTGTTGTATGATAGGAAGATAGACTTGTTGACCAAGAATGCTTGTCATTTAAAGTATTTTGTGATTTTGTCCCAAGCCACTTTTATTTAAAATGTGCTTTGAAGTGTGCAGACATTAATTGTAATGTAACTCTTATACAACTGTCTTTGTGACTTTATAGCCAGGTAAACTTTGGTATAACTCTCAAATACAAATGGTACACATTCACCTGTTACCACTGTTAGCATCCATTGAATTTCATCATGGTTAATGGATTTTGAACATGTAAATTAAATTTTCTCGGCATTTTCAAATTTCCTGTTTGTAATAATTATTTGGATTTCTGAAATGTTGAAAATGTTATTTGCTAAGTGATACATGTCTTTGAGCTGTTTCTTAAAAATCTAAGGGGATATGGAAAACACCTTAATATCAGACTTTTCTAATGAATTATAAACCCCAGAATAAAGGCCCCCCTATATTAAAATGGAAACAAAAACACACGGATGAAATCTTTGAAATTGCTTTCATCCACCCAAAATGCTTTGTTTTGTTTTTATCTATTCTCAACCAGTTGTGTAATGGAAACGCTCAATACTGGTTTCCCTGCTGTGCGTGAGTAATGAATCATTGATTATGTGACTTGTTATGTATTCTATTAAACACTAAAGAATAAAACATTCACTCCTTTAATTACTCCCTTTGGCTCTTGGGTATGGATTGCCTGGAATACTGTTCTAATTTCGGTTAAGGAGTGTTGGGAATACTGTGAATGCTTCCTTCCACACTGCTGAGGGACAGACAGACTGATGGATAGATGGTGAGCAATCTCTCGGGCCGGTAGATCTCACCAAGTCAGTTTCCAGCTGGGCCAGGCTAAACCAGACTCTGTCTCACTTTACTGTCAAGAAGGCATCCATCACAGGCAGTCTGATAGTCATTGCAGAAGAGAAGTCTTTCACAAGCTATTTCTTTAATTTCGGTCTTTGCAGCCAATGGCTGTGTAAGGGAAGATGATATAAATTGTAAATGCCCCCTTTTAAGTGTGAGGGGACAAGGTAGTAGATGCTGCAAGATTTGCCTGCAGTGAAAGTGCAGTTCATGAAGATGGTGAGGTTCTGGGAGTGTTGGGTAGGAGCAGTTGTCTGGCTGCCGAGAGGGCTGTTTGCAACACTGTCTCCAGACTTTCAAGTTTCTGCTTTCCAGTGCCACCCCAACTAGGAAATGACAGAGGCAGCCTTCTAGCCAGGAAGCCAGGTTTCGCCCTTCCTCTTTTGCCTGTACTTCCTCTAGGCGGCTTTTGTTTTGTAGATATAAACACACATGATTTATTTTTTTGAAAATGTTGTAGATAGGACAAAAACCTTTGGCACTGCAAGACCGTAGCCCAGAAAGAAGCAGCCGCCCTTTCCTATCCCTAGCTTTCCCCAGAGACACCCAGGGTTTCTTCTACACACGCAGCATTACTGACTTGTACCCCCTCCTCTTTTCTGAAGCACTGCCTCTTCCAAGCTATCCCTCCCGTTTCGTGTGACACATGGACGCGAGGCACTGATCTGTCTGTGTTTATGATCATTCCATGATGCTCTGGACGATGTACTCCGGCCCAGATGGGCTGCAGCTTTTAACTTGTCATTTATTGACATGTACTTAAGTCTAGGGACTGCCTCCCCTACAAGGAATCTGTATTGAAAGTATTTTTACATGCATGAAAATATGTGTGTCGTGTGTGTGTGTGTCGTGTGTGTGTGTGTGTGTGTGTGTGTGTGTG